CCTCTCCCACAGGGAGAAAGAAACAGTGAAGAAGCTGGGGAATTAACGTTTATAGACAAATTTTACAGTAACTTTGCTTAACTAACATCATTTCCAACATTTTGAGCATCTGAAACATATGTCCCAAAAGTTTCTCAGGCTGTAATGAGAAACTCTCCTGTACTGTTCTGGAAAAAATATCCTAATTGTGCTAACTACGTATGCATTTTTTAAATTGTTTTTGCAGTAGTGATGCTAAAAAGAAAAGCAACAACAACAACAACAACAGCAAAAACCATTATGTATTTATCAATGGTGGTTGTCTAATAAGATTGCAGTGACCTCTATGGGTGAAATGAGGAAAATATCTGGCTTGTTTTGCAAAGAACTTATTGTCATTTAAAAGTGGCGTTCAAAGAATCTTTAGATCAGGGTGTAGCTGGACATTTCAGCTAAACCAATCTAGTGATCCACTGCCCCGCCTCCAAGCCATGTGTGTTTGCTGTTGCTGATTCACTCTTTTGGGCCTACATTGGCTCAAGTTAGCAGTAAAATAGCCCAATAGAAAGTAATAGATAACTAGAGAGCTAGTTCTGTGGTACGAACTGTTACCACAAGAGTTTCAACACTCTTACAAGGAAATGGCAGAAGTGTATGGCCAGGAGCACTGGGGATAGTCTCAGCCTCTAAGCTGAATTTTCCAATTTTCACGCCTATGTTTTCTTTTGATAATATACTTTCTGTTATCTGCTAGTTATGAATGTAGTTGTTCAACCCCAACTCATGTGGGTCATTAATTTTCCACATGCATTTCCTTTGCTCCCAGGGTTCCATATGATTTCTTCTGATCCTTATGGTCCTAATCTAACATCTAGGGTTAGAAATCACAATGTTAGCATGGAGAGATAAGATTCAATGCTATTACCTATGTGACTGTGCAGGGATTAGATGTCTCAGTTCCCGCTCTGTGAAATGAGATCAACATGGTGAAATCTAGAGAGCTTTTCAGCTCATTCTGTAGAAACACCCCATGCTGAACAGCTGAATTACTTTGTGGTTCCTCTTGACTATATTTACATGGAATATGAATCAGCTGATTAAATAAAGATATCTGCTGTCATTTGACTTGCCTGAGAATATCCTACTATTCCAAAATATTTGGGTCTCCAATAGCGCCTATGTAAAATTTGGCAATCTCATCAACCAGCCTCAGGGCATCTCAAATGGCATTAGGAGCATTCATATTCATATTGCACTGAGATCAATGTGCCTTTTGCATCATGAGCAATTTCTTACGTTCTCTTTCATCTTCCCTCAAGTGCAGCTCAAATTTCATTTAGCAAATAGGTTTCTTTTGTTTTATTGATAGGAATGGGTAAAATCTGGGGCATTAGTACCAGAATGTTTCAGAGCTGAAAGTTCTTTACATATTCAGCAGTAGCACTTTGCAAACATTCTTTAAATGCGATTGGAGCAAAGTTCAGGAGCTGGATAGTACTCTGTTTCTGAGCTCATATTTGAATCAGATTTAATCTTTGCCACTTCCGCCCTTCTCTCTGATTAGAAATAGCAGTGTATGAAAAGAGCATATCTTTCACAACAGCTAACATCCAGGGACGTTGTTCCTCCCAGCTTTTTAAAGTAAAATTCACTATATTTATAAAGCAGATTGTGCATTTGTGACTATCTTTGGACTCAGCATTCGGGTGAATGACAAAAAAGGTTGGGAATCATTTCCTAGAGCATAGAATTTTCCTGGGAGGTGCCAGATCTCCCACTGGTTAAAATTGGCACATAGATGTAAAAATAAAAAAAAAAAAAAAAGAAAGGTGCCTAATTTAAACTTTCTTGCATTGGTCATCTGCAATGTCCTCATTTACTTTGGTAGCATATGTCTACAGAGAAGAAAATGGAGAGACAAGCTTGGCTTTGTGTAACTGAACTGCTGTTCTTCATGACTGCTTTATAAGTTTCAGTTTGTGTTGGGTCTGCTTAAATAGGTAGCAAATGTATAGAACATAAATGGAAATATTGCATTAAGTAAGAAGCTGAATACTTCAGACACCTGTTAATGTATGCTGTGTTACTTATATATATATATTTATTTATTTTAGATGGCAAAGAATTTGATGCCTTTGTATCCTATGCAAAAACAGACTCTTCTGAAAGTAACTCTGCTTTTATTAGTGAGGAAAGATTTGCCCTGGAGATCCTTCCAGACATGCTTGAAAACAAATATGGATACAAGTTATGCATTCTTGAAAGAGATATTCTTCCAGGAGGAGGTAAGGTTCCTGTGGTTGGTAGAAAGTCTTCAGTTCCTTGTAACATTATTTTCTTTCCTAAAAACCTTATGCACTAGTTCAACAAATGGTATGTTTTGGCACAGGAGTTTCTGCTCATATCTTGCCGTGTTTGGTCTTTTTACCTGGTCTCTGCAACCAAGGAATGTGTATATTTGAGTGTGGTTGTTGAGGAGGCTCTGGGCAGCCTGATCTAGTAGTTGGCAACCCTGCACATAGCAGGGGATTTGAAACTAGATAGTCATTATGATCCTTTTCAACCCATTCCATTCCTTTCCTTTCCATTCTATAAGGTACTTGGCTGAGACAAAGCTTCTCATCCAAGAATTTATTCACAGGCAGACTCCATTCTGAAAAATGAATACCCTGAATTTTTCATTAGTTACTTTCTGACTCACCTTGGTCAGTGCCACTAGCAATAACTGGAAGTCCTGAGTACCTCTCCCTGGGAGAGACAGACAAATCCAAGTGTCCTTTGATAATTTGCTTGAATGTGCTGTGGTTGTGATCTCAGCTGTGCCCTCCACCTTTTGAGCATCCAGTTATGTTCTCAAAACTGCATAAAAATGGCAGAGATACCCTCTGATCATGAACGGTTTTAAGGTTAATGCGGTTGCTCAGCACTTCTATTTCTGGTTTTCTGTATTTCTGGTGATTATCCATTCTTAAATGAACTGATTTGGATAAAAAGTCCAATACACTTTACAATAACAATTGTAATTTCTTCTCCAGCATACACAGATGAAGTTGTTACAGCTATTAAACAAAGTAGAAGAACAATCATTATTCTGAGCCCAGCCTATGTCAGCGGACCAAACATCTTTGAACTGCAGGCAGCAGTGAACTGTGCACTGGAAGACAAAAAGATCAAATTGGTTTTAATAAAGTTCCAAGCTTTCCAGGAGCCAGAGACCTTGCCTCCAGTAGTTAAGAAGGCTCTTCGGATTTTACCAGTCATTACCTGGAAGCCTTCTATTTCTACTGCTCCAAACAAAAAGTTCTGGAAATACATGCACTACCACATGCCCGTAAATACCACTAAGGTGTTGCGAAATTGCAGCCTAAAGGGCTTTTTCCAAAGGTTATTCAGCCTGGTACATCGATAGCATAAATTTCAGAGGAGTGACTGGTATCTCAGGAGTTAATGGATTTAAACTTTTTTTTTTTTTTTTTTTTACATCAGCAGACTACTCTGGACTGTCACTTGAGCCAGCAATATCTCACTCTAGAGCTCTGAGAAGGGCTGCAGTGCAAACATGCACACAGCAAAACTATGTGGCACTTCTCACACATGTATATGTAAGCTATCTTTAGTAAGTTATTATTAGGATATTTATTATGTTGTTTTGCAATGATGTTGAGACATGCAAATGTTCTTCTCTTTCCATTGTTTTTCTGTTGAAGCATTTTTATACTTTTTTTTTTTCCTGGAAAAAAGATTAAAAAAAGAAATCCTGAGAAATCTTGTGGTTTAATTTTCTGCGCAGTTCTGCAGGACAAATCCAAGCTCTATATGTGAGTTACCTCTTCCTTGGAGAATACCAAGGATGAAAGCTCTAGGATGCTCCCACATCTAGGTATGCTGAAGGGTTTGATACAAGGAGGAATGCTGTGTCAGGGCTGATCCCAGGAACTACTATCCTTCATGAAGTGGGATAAGGCATTTCTACCAGCTCTGAAACATTTTGCACTCAGAAACAATTTGCATTCTGCTGATCCCATGTGGCAAGGGTCACTCCTGGGTCCTACCAAAACTGCTGAACATCATGGCACTAAATCCCATGATTTTCACAGCTAGTGGGCTTCCAAGGGCTCTGAAACATCTGTTTTTTTCTTGAAGACCTCTGCCAAGGTTCATACCACTTACCCTCAAAGCAACTTGCAATCTGTGTGTATGGCTATACCTAAGAAAAATGCAGTGGTTCCTGTTCAGAAGAAAATCTTCTTCTGTTGTCTTCTTTTGAACTCCAGGTGGTCAAATCAGATCAGCTGAGATAACCATCTTTTTTTTTTTTTTTTTTTTTTTTTTTTAAATAACATTTGTTATTGTGTGCCAAGTGAAATACATGCCTTTAAAAGAGGTAACAAGTTTCTAAAGGAGAATGTAATTTGCGTGGCCCTCCACCAGATGTCCCAACTGCAAACCCTGCCGATCACGTTTATTTGCACACCGAGTGGTTTTGTTACAAGGTGAGACAGAGGCAGGGAGCAGTGCCAAGAGTGGTACCTGCAGTGCAGCTGCTCTAGGGAGGCAGACAGGGACTGAAGGAAGCAGAAGAAGGCATGGAGCCTGTCCTGCCCATCTGATACTGTTTTCCTATGCTACCCTTACTGCCTGAATAGTGCACATCAGTGATTTTTGTAGTTATTAGTGGGAAAAATATCAGAGAGGCTGGAAAAATTATGTGTCCGGAAAGCTCGTTACTTTTCAGCAGAGTGATGCTGTGTCTGGGGTTTATCTGGGTCTGAGGAACCTGCAGAACTGGTATCTTCATATAAACTTCAGGTTCATCTGTAATACGAGGAGCAGTGCAGGTACGTTAGGGCTTTTAAAAGGGCCTCTAATAAGAAACTGAAGGAGTAGTGAGGAAGAAATGACTGTGGCTATGAGAAGTGGGAATTAACAGGTGTGAGTGTTGTGTACTTCCTTGCACCCCACTATATGCTCTATAACAGATAGCCACAGCCCTCAACATGGGCTCTCCTGCCTTTGAACGTATGAAGATGCTGAGTTACTTGCTGTCACTGTTGACTCTGGCATGCCCTTCTGCTGCTGCTTATTTGGATGAGCCTAGCCTGGGTAGTAGTTTGTTGCCTCACTATGAACATGATCGTGCTGATGCTGTTGACTCTTCACAAAATAAGAGGCTGCAGGTTTTCACAGTGGACTACAACAATGTGCAGATTCCATATGAAGTCACTCTTTGGATACTTCTTGCCTCTCTTGCAAAAATAGGTAAGTGGAAATGGTATCTTGGATCCTCTTTTATTGGTAAGAATTTAAAAACATACCGTGTAACCAAGTTTCTTGCATATGCTTTTGTGCTAGGGACTGTTTTTCTGTCCTATCCTGGAAAGAATAGGTCATTATTATGACAATGACAAACTTTCACCTCTTAATGCTTTCAAATTATTGAAATAAGTATATGGTTTCTAACTCTCATTTCTCTTGGGCTGTCTATGCTAATGTGTAGCAAAGGATGTCCTCCTCACAGTGCTGTCCAATCCTTTGTTCTAATATTTAAATATCTTGCGATGAATATTTAATATCACAAGACTATACAATCTGACACAGCTGTAGAAATCAGGAAAACAGCTGACTGAAACCTCAGCTGTACTTACTTTGGGAAGGAGGAAAGTAAGAACCCTTCTGTCATGTGAATAATAGAAAGCAATTTCCTATAAACTTTCGTTTTAAATGTTTGTTGTTTAATGTTGCTCAGAAAGTTACATCAGAGGAGGGAGGTGAAGCCTGATACTGGACTGACCGGATACTGGTCATAGGAAAAGCAGCATAAATGCCTATAGAATACACTTCAATACATCTAGCTTCTCCTGGGGCTCAGTGTACATATCTGAAAGAAGAGAGACAACGCTTGGAGAAATAGGGACTGTAATTAATAAAGAAAAAAATGCTCACCCTGTGTCTTATGCATCTATATGACTGGACTTAAGTTGATTTTGGCTTTTTGGAACTAAAGCAGCAATATGAAATATATGAAGATGATTGCAGTAATGAAGAGCTACACATAAGTGATTTCCCTGCCCTTTTGAAGTTCAGTGGGATTTTCAGGCACTCCTATAGAATGGGCAGAAGAATGGGAAGAAGAATCCCTTTATTTGATAAAACTGATAGAAGTTTTGAACATGATTTAAAAATGAAATTAAAATTAATTAAATTTATTTTTAATCAAAATAATTAAAATGCGATAGTAGTGTTATGATCATAGCATACTTTGCGGTAAAAATAAGTAAATTTCCCAAATAAATAATATTAAATTTCAGAAAAACGTGTTTTTGTTTCTTTTACTTTTGAACATGAATAATTCACGCATCACAAAAATGCAAACTTGTCATTGGCTGCTAAAGTTATGAGATGAAATTTCGTCTTGCTTTAAGTATGAAAACAGGCCCATTGGATTGCACACAGAAGCACAGAACGGCTGAGGTTGGAGGGTACCTCAGGAGGCCATCTGGTCCAACCACCATTCAACAGAGACACCTAGAGCTAGATGACCATTTATGACTGTCTTTGTCTCATTCTCATTCATGTAAACTCTGAACAATTCCTTACGTTTTGAGATAAGGCATCTCTTATTCACAATATGACTAATTATACAATCCCTAATACAGCAACTGGATGAGGCATTATTGGATGCTATCTCAGTGTTGGTACCAATACTCATGTCAAATGTGCAGAATTACATAAATCCACAGTAGCAGGGCATCAAGGTAGGTTGGAAGAGATCCATACCCATAACATTTCTAAGTTAAATGTAGCTCTTTCTCTCTAAAATGTCCTGGCTGCATCTATATTTTAAAGGGAAGGCACACTGTGGCATGTCCAACTATCCATGCTGCGTCAGTGCAGACGAGCTCTTTCTGAACTTCTGCCCATGTCCGACAGCCTTCTCCCAGGCAGTGTCCAGGCAACCTATGGGTCAGGGTCTGTTCTTGCAGGCAGATCAGATATGTCTGTTTGTTTTCTGGGGCAGAGAAGAGCATCTGGCTGTCTGGATGTAAGCTGAACCTTCCTGATGGGAAATCTCTTTGGACTGCTTCATTTGGTAGTGTAGACTGAACCTTTATTTTTATCAAGGAGAAAACCTTCCCAGGATCCATTGTTTTCTATTATTTGATGTCAATAGCTCTTTCAACTCAGCTGAAACCACTGTTGTTGTTTTGGGTTGTGTTTTTTTTTTGTTTTTTTTTTTTTTTTCCACGAAACTAGCTCATAAAGTTCTTTACAGAGCACTGTTTACCTTATGTAGAAACTAGAACTCCCAGAAAAGCAAGGTTAGTCAGCTTGTACAAAGCATTATGTGGCCATGCCTTGATTCCTGGTGATAACGAAGCTGCTTTGTATTTTGTGGTGTTCATGAGTATTCACTTGCTCAGCCTGGGGGTCATCTGGTGTCTGGGAAATTATCAAGGTGTTTCTGGAAGTGGAAGGAGATGGGCAGACCTTAGCATCTGTGCTGCTTGCTCCTTGCTCCCTTGGGCTTATCCAGGTTCCTGGTCAGCCCAAACCCAGGATTGTTTCATTTTGAAGGGAATGGTGCTACTTGTGCATTTACTTTTGTAATATTAAAACTAGAACCTGACAATATGAAAACTAAGTGTTTGAAGGCAGGCAAAACACATCTGACTTCAGGCTAACTTAAATGTTTTATTAAAGGTTTCCATCTCTATCACCGATTACCAAGACTCATGCCTGAAAGCTGCATCCTGATTGCCATTGGAGCACTAGTTGGAGCGATCATCTTTGGTACTGACCACAAATCCCCACCGGTGATGAACACAAGTATTTATTTCTTGTATCTCCTTCCACCCATTGTGCTGGAAGAGGGTTATTTCATGCCAACTCGTCCATTCTTTGAAAACCTTGGGTCCATCTTGTGGTGGTCCGTGCTAGGATCTCTGCTGAACTCATTTGGGATTGGCCTCTCCCTCTATGGCATTTGCCAGATTGAAGTCTTTGGTCTGACTGACCTGAACCTGCTGCAGAACCTGCTCTTTGGCAGCATGATCTCAGCTGTGGATCCTGTGGCAGCTCTGGAAGTTTTTGAAGAAGCTTCTGTTAATGAGCAGCTTCACATGATGATTTTTGGAGAATCATTGCTGAATGATGGCATAACTGTGGTGAGTTTCTTTCCAGTCTTCATCTGCTTCTCTTAGGACTCTTTTTGTTTGTAGGGTTATTGGATGCAGGGCATGGGCAACTTTGTGAAGATCTTTGATGCAGTATAATATGCATATTCTACTGGCAACTCACAATTAATTTTGATGTATGTAAAAACTACATCTTATATTAATTTTTTCATAAACATTTCATTTTCAAGCCACTGAAAGAGATATTGTTTCTAGTTAGACATTAAGACAGCACACCCTAATCTTGCATTCACTAAATTTAAAGGATAAGTGAAAGCAGATTTTGCTGATAGGAACACACTCGGTGTTGTGCAAGCAAATAAATAGAAAACTGTACTCCTTTAGGACTGAGAGCAGCAGGGATAGCAATGCAAGAGATCCTCCTTTGTCTTATGCCTTAGAGAGCACTCAGCAAAAAAAATGGACAGCCTCTGGTAGCCTTGATCCCTTCCAGGAAATTCTCCAGAGACCTTAGACAGGAATTTCAGAAACCATGAATGATTTTGCTAAACTGTTTCTATTGATAAAATAATTGTCATCAAATAAGTATTTGCCTTTCTTGAAAATCTTGTTCCAAGTACTCAAAACAATGCTTTGCTTTTCATTTTTAGAAAAGAGGGTTTTTTGTGATTTGTCTGTTTTTGACAGAGCTCCTTTTCTACTACTTTCCCCATTTTCCCTACGCTTTTACTGAAGTATGGAGCAACTTGAAATTCTAGCTGTGGACTAGTAGAACCCACATGTTTTTCAAACAAGCAGGAAATTCATTAGGCGGGGATCAACAGGAGTGTTTATGTGCTGAAAGTTAAGTACAGGTTAAGGAGTTTTGCTCGATATGATCTTTACAGAATTTAAATCACAGGAATCTAAAACACATAAAAAGTATCGAGATACTGTTATACATTGGGTACAGCAGAACCTGGACTTGTAAAAGCTGTACGGAGTTCACTGCTCAAAGGCTTCATGGGAGAAATACAGCTCATGAGTAATGTTTAGTGGAAAAAGAATGAAATAATTTATTGCAGCCATAGCCCAGTGATCATAAATCCTTCACCTTGATGAATCAGAGATATAAGGCAAAAGTAGAATTAAGGGACAAATGTTACTTAACCTTGCATACATACTGCTTATGTGTTACAGCTGTAACTAACAAAGCACAGTGCATCTATCACTGCCACCTGTCTTTTGGTTCCTTCCAGCGTAGACTTCAGAAAGTAGTATCTGTTCTTCATTCTGGAATAACTTGTTTGGTCTGTTGTCTGCCTGGCTTTCTACCCTGTCTTTCCTTTGTTCCCATCTGTGTTTATGATGTGGGTCCTGAGAACCCATGATGTGAGAATTTATGTGAGCTTTCAGTCAGGATCCTGTTACAGTGTAAATCTATAGCGTCAGAAAGTCTTAAAAAACAGAGGTGTTTAGGTATTCTTATACAGCACAAGGTGTGTTAGCAAAAGAAACGAAAGGGTGGTCTTTCTACATGACTGTGAGGTCCCTTTGCCCCATGCACCTCCTCCTTAAATCTCTTAAAGCAGCTACATGGCAATCCATTTGTTGACTTATCTGTTACATTTCTGTATCAGTCACCTCTCAAGACATTTTCTGGGCATTCAGATCTTCAAAATCTCTATAAAGCCATATGCAGAGAAGTCTAGACTATTTATCATGTTGATGGAGCCCAAATAGATTGCTTTTTCCTCTTTCACGCTTCACTTACTATTTTGAAATCTTTTAAACTGTTCTTACATTACCATTTCCTCCTTGTTTCTCTCTTACCAGCTTTATTTGACTTAACATGTGTAAAAGGCAGTACCACCTAGATACAATAAATAAAGCTCAAGGTTGAACAAGTGAAGGACCCTAATTTTGTTGCAAAGGGTTTCAAGTTTCTGTAATTCAATTCCTGCATGTGCCCAGTCCATTTCATCTTGACAGGAGCTGAGCATGTGCATCAGAAAACTTGATATTTCACCTGTCCACTTCATTTCTGATCTCAGAAATCCTGAGGACACCTGTGTACCATGTCATACTGAAAATGAAGCTGCAGAGACCATTTTCTCAAATGGCGTCCTCTCTTTGTGTGCAGTCACAGAGCTGTTAAAAAAATCTCGAGCATGATGGAGATCCAATAAAAATAATTTCTGTTTGAATGAATTTGAGTTTACCTCTCTGATGTCTCTAGGAGAGCTTTGACCATTAGATGTGTGGATGTTAAGGAGGAGAATGGAGATACTCCACCTGTCACTGAAGTTGACACATTGTGTTTAAAATAAATTGAAATTCATGTGATCTAAAAGAGGAAATAAAGCGTTTTCAAGGCTGCCTATGTTAGTAGTTAAGGCAGTCATCTGAAAATCTTTGCTTCCAGAGCTCCTGATGTGAGCACTGTGTGCAATGTTCAAGTCATATCAACTGCTGAAGCAGCAGCTGGAGCAGAGAGCCCAGCACCAGGAAACATGCATGAAAATGTAATGTTTGCTCTTCTTCACCCTGGCTCTATCAGTCATTTAGTGGTATACTGCTACATGGTAGTGTCTCCTCCAAAAAACTCAAAGCATGACATTCACAAAGTTAAGTGAGGGCAACTATCAGTCCATGCCTTCTTTGTGAGCAATCCAAGGCATCCTGAGCTGTTCCAAGCTTTTCTGCCATATAAGGAAATACGGTATTTCTTCTGCTAGTAGAAACACCCCAAGTTAACTTTGTCGAACAATCTTTATATGGAGGCTTACTTCTGTGATGCCCAAAGTAAAAAAAAAAAAAAAAAAAAAAAAAAAAAAAAGAAGGAAATAATGTCATATTTCAATGATTTTCACTTTTATGCTGATTCACTTATACAGATCCATTAGGAGGCAGAAAAGGAGGGACAATCTTACAAAGTCATTTGCTGATGATAATTCATACTATTTAAAAGACTACACAGGTCAGTACCTTGATATCACTTATAAAGAATTTCAAGTCTTAAGAAGAGGTTGAAATCAGCAGGAAAGGGGGAACAGAAAGAGAATAGACTTTGTAATCAGACACTGCACAATAAGTACATGATATTTTGCTTGCTGTGGGACACAGCTTCTTTTTTTTACATATCACTTTCATGCATAGTCATAAGGAAAAGTGAGGCTCAGTACTTTGTTTGGGATGCTCTCATGAAATATTTTTTGTGTTTTTGTCTGTCCCCCAGAGATATTATCAATGAGACTCCTGGAGAACAGCCAGTTTGACAGCTCAAGGTCATACACTCCCAGCAGCAATTTAAGATGGGATAGTAGCTGGGGAATAATTATTATCCTAATGAGCTTGATTCTTCTATCTGAAAATATCTACTTTAATCTTCTTAATAGTCTCCTGAAATTAACTGTATGAAGAAGAAAGAACAAAGAAGAACAGATAAGATCAATGACTTTCCTCTGTTTTGATGGAACTAATGCTTTGGTACAACAGCTACAGTGGACCGGAGTCTTTAGCTGTTCCCAAAATTCTCTTGAAAACTGAAAGATGACTCCCATATACTAGACATTCCCTGTAAATAGATCTGACAGGACTTAATGGTAGCCAATTGTCAGCAGCTTCTAAGAACTTTTTACTACTATCCCATTCTTTCAATTAGTTTTTAAAAGATGGATGAAATTACAACAGAATTGAGATTTTTCAACGTGAACTTCTGCAGAAGAGAACTATTAATAATATGAGCATTTTAAATTTATCTGATCTAGACTACATAAATGGAATCATCTTTTATTTCCTACTTAAGGTTGTGAAGAAGGTTAAGTGGCATTAAATATAAAACATGTGAGAGTACAGAGACTGTGAACTTCCCCTCCCAAACTTCCCCCTACAAAACATGTAGGGATCAGTGTGGGTGGGGCAACTGAGTGTAGCTCTGAAAGAGAGTATTAAAAGTAAAGAGGTTTAGAGTCAGACTGGTGCTTACTTCAGTCAGGCTGGGAAAGTGTCTTTTGGGTATTTCTTTGTGTAAATGCAGTTGTGACAGCCATTTACTCTGGATTATTCAGTGTCAATCAGCATAGACCATAATTATTGTATTAACAAGACAATTCATTAAAACTTTGATTAACTAAGTATTCTACTTTAACACAAATGACAGAACTGTAATAACTGTACTTATCTAGCTAGAAGAAATCTGAATCTGAGGTTGCCATTTATTTCCCTTCCCTTCCCTTCCCTTCCCTTCCCTTCCCTTCCCTTCCCTTCCCTTCCTCCTGCTTCCTTTCCCATTGGAGATGTGATGTTAAGCAATTTTTATGCATCAAGCACTACTGAAGGACATTTGATATTTCAGAGTCCACCCAATGAAGTGTGTTCAATTTACAGATCATACAGACAAGGTAAACAGGATTTATGCAAGAAGTACATTTTGCAGTTTCTGCCCTGCCCCATCATGAGTCAGAAAGAGAATGTGAGAGTGCATGTGGGCATGGTAAGGTACTCAGCTGAGCTTTGAACATCTGATACAAAAACCAAAAAAGCAAGAGTATTTTTCAGGTACATTAATTACATTTGATCCCTGAGAGTTTTACTCTTTTTACGTAACCATCAACCTACTCTCCATTTTTTTGCCATTTTCAGAATACTTGGAAAGCACCTAGTTTGGGATGTGTTATGAGCCATCTGAGATTTCAATATTATTTTGCTGATTTGCCTAAAGCAATATCTGGCACACATGTGTGCATAGATATATGTATCAAATGAATAAGTCTGCAAGCTTCTGAAAGATGCCTGGCAGCTATCATCTCCTCATTTTGCACACAGGTGTTGTACAACATCTTCATCGCCTTCACCCAGATGCACAAGTACGAAGAGATTGAATCCATTGATATCCTCGCTGGCTTTGCTCGCTTCTTCGTTGTGGGTCTGGGTGGCATGCTGTTTGGTGTTGTCTTCGGGTTTGTTTCAGCCCTCATGACTCGATTCACCCACAACGTCTCCGCTATTGAACCCCTGCTGGTCTTCATGTTCAGCTACCTGTCATACTTGTGTGCTGAAATCCTTTACGTCTCAGGTATCTTGGCGTGAGTATTCCTTGTGCCTTTTCAGATGCTCTCTTGGGGAAAGGGGCAATGTTTCACGAAGATGGTTTACTTGAGATTGATGTTTTACTAATATCAACATTTTCAGCCTCAGGCCTACAGTAAAAAGCTACTAAGTAGTCTGTAAGTGCAGTGATAATTAGGAGAAGCAAGCCTACACTCAGTGTAGGCAGAGATGTACTACTGAGGAATAGATATCTGTGCTGACAATTTTTTATTTTTATTTTTGCCCCCTGGAAAAAAAAGTCTTACAAACTGTGAGTATGATGTCTGCTGTTGCCACCAATTGACAGTTTTCTGTTCCACAGAGCATGAGGGAACAGTCTACCTCTGGTAGAACCAGTTCAGTGAGAGAATGGATTCATAATAGACTTGTGTATGTGCCTTTATGCTAAGCATTCAACACTGGATAAGAATAGAGATGAAAAGTAATGAATGGAAATTTAAAAACTTAGGAATGTTAGGGTTATTGCTCTTGTGTATAGTTTTGAAAATCATTTATGACATGATTTATTGGAATTACACTAGGTTTGAGTAGCATTACTGGAAGAAGAGAAAGGAGTAGGGGGTAAAAGTGAGAGACATTAGGGTAAGACTGCTTGTAAGGAGATTCGAAGGATTCTGCACCTAACAACTCTTCAGAAGAAGGAAAGGTAAAGAACAGGCCACTTGGCAAGGTAGCTAAACCTGTAGCTAATGCTGTGAGATGCTATGGAGATCAGTGATCGGCTAGTGGGTGGCTTTGAGCTCATGTGCCAGTGGAGTCTTTGTGGATTTTGGTCTCTCAGAGGACAGGAATCTCCAGAAAGATGCTTCCTGTTGGGGGCAATTCAGTTGACAAAGGTAATAAATAAAAGTATGTAACTGTTGAGGTATTTACATCTGCTCATTTCTACCTGTCAAACTCAGGTTTGGTTAGCTTCAGAGAATGACTGGCTTTGTACTAACTCTGGAAAGCCAGATTAGAATATTATCCATATTAAACAACTATTTAGATAAGAAACGAGTTTCTCTGAGCTATGAGACAAAGGAATTGAGTCTTGGGCTTTGTTTTTGTCTCCAACATCTTTGCTTTTAGGTATCTGAGATACTTAACCCTAACCCTAAAGTTAGGGGGATGAGCAGGATGAGACCTACTACATAGTGAGCACTAATACCACATGGGCTCTTTCCTACCAGCACTGCCCAGAATACTGCTTCCTTGCCTACCCATTACACTATACTACATACCTCTATATTCTCTTACTTGTGATTTTCATTAGGGCACTGAAGTTGTTAGTAATAAAAAATGTTAATATAATTGGGATTTATTATTCTTACTGCTTCATTAAGAAAATTATTGCTTGTTTTGGGAATGGGAACTTATTGTCACCCTTCTAAATTACTGAGGAATTCATTCATTTTTCACTTATATCATGAAAGTTGATTATGCATGTATCTCTGAAAGTCAACAGTATTAAAATTTAATGCCTAATGACATTGCCTTAGAATGTCCTTGGACCTGCTCAGTTCTACCCAGAATACCCTTGAGATTTCTTCAACAGAAATTAAAAGAACAGAAACTAGATAAAGGCTTATTTAGTGAGCCGTCAATGTTCTCCAAATTTACAAGTTTGGAAAAATATCATCACAAGAAGCCCCCAAAGACTAAATAACATCAACAGGAATTAGATAGATGATGGAATATATTATTAGCCTTGCACTAAATCTATCTAATTATCTACAGCTGTGGAAAATGAAGGAGATAAGAGTAAACTGTTCAGTAGTCCTGCTTGAAGACTACTGCTCAACATGAATATGACAAGTATCTGTGTTGGGTCATGGCTGATACCTCTGAAACTGGCTCTAGCTTGAGTAACAAAGACTAAAGAGTGGAAAAAAATTCCTTTCCTTCCTTAGGAGCATTTTCCACACCCTGGTTAACTAAAAGGAATGAAGGACATATCTGTAGGGTAATTAAATTTTCCCCTGCTGTGCAGCAGTGGACTTCTATGGGAGGAGAATTTCTGAAGCTTGTCCTGGTACTGCTGATCTGCCAACCAGCTGGCAAGGACTCACTGGAGTCTTTGATCCCTGCACAGAACTACAGCCGTGTTCTCTTTGCCTTGCACCTCAAGGCAAAGATCACTCAGAGGCAGGTTATGTCCCTCTAATTAATACAGCCACAGCCTGGTACAAAATTGACTGCCCTTTGTTTGATACTCAAATATTTGATGCTTGGTGGTTGTGCGTTATGCATTCAGAATAAAAAGGACTTTGAACAGGAATGTGATATCCTCATTTCCCCTCAAGGGAAGCTGACTGATTTGCTTCCTTTTTCCTGTATACAAAATGGATTCATAAAGCTGTATGAGTTCTTTTACTTAACTGGAATAGCTAGCATTATTGAAGAAATAAAATGCTACATTATACTAGGCAGGTTAAGATTTGATAGTGAAGACTATGAATGCAGTCTCAAGTTGCTATTAAATCAAGAACAAACAAACAAACAACAACAAAAGCAGTTTGTGGTTGCTCTCTGATGTTTTACCTCCTACAGGATGACAGCATGTGCAGTGACTATGAAAAAATATGTGGAGGAGAATGTTTCCCAGAATTCCTACACAACAATAAAATACTTCATGAAGATGTTGAGCAGCGTCAGCGAGACCCTGATCTTTGTTTTCATGGGAGTGTCTACAGTGGGGAAAAATCATGAGTGGAACTGGGCTTTTATTTGCTTCACTCTGCTTTTCTGCCTCATTTGGAGGACACTAAGTAAGTCAGTTTTTGCAGACAACCTGGTCTGCATCTCTGAAAGAAATCTTTTAGTGCAAAGGTATGTTAGAAAAACTGGTGCAGACTGGTATAACCAGATTAATAATGAATTTACTAGGCATGCATTACTGACAGCTTCATTTCATATATCCACACATGCAGAAAAAGAAGGAAAAACATCAAACAAATCTTAATGCCAGTTTTCAATCACAGACTACATGATTAAGTAAGAATAGAACATATTAAGCAAAATTGAAACATTGTCATGATTATGCCTATACAGAAGCAGATGTCTTAGTTAACTATATGCCCGTGGATAAGTGGGCTTCACAGTATTTTCATCACATTATGTAACCGTTTAGCCAGCTGCCGACCAGCACCCCACGTCCTTTTCTTCTAGGCAGATTTCCAGCTGCATTTCCTCAAGTCGATAGCACTGCACAAGGTTGCAATCCACGCTATACTAATGATCTTCACAAGTCAGTTTGGACACTGAGGTTTTAAACCACTAGAAAGTAGTGCCTATGAAATTATTCAATTTCTGCATGCAGTATTTTCCTGTTCTTACAAAGGTCTCCTACTTCCTCATCTATGAGGCTATGATTCCTTGAGCATGGGCAGAGGATTTCCTAGAGGATGTCACAATAGCTGTGGGACACCATTTCTCATCTTCTCCTGATGACAAGGATGGGCCAGCAGTAACTTTGAAAAGTTGAGAAAGACAGAATGGGAAGACAAGGAAGATGAACTGTGCTCTTTATAAAAGTACAGATTGAATGTATGCAGCTTTCCCCTGGAAAAGGTGACGAGCCAACAGAAAGTATGTGCACAATAATCAGAGGACCAGTGGTTCAGAGAGACCAGTACATCTGATGTTTTAATAGCTGTCTACTGCAGATCTTCTGATCTAGAAAAGGAGACAGACAAAGCATTGCTTATGCACTGGAGAAAGTATTACAGGCCCTTATACTCATGGGAGATTTTAACTATGCTAGTATTTGTTAGAAGGGCAATATGGCTATCCAGGAGTTTTCTGAAAAATGTTGAACAAAATTTCTTGATGCATTTGTCAATGAGACAACCATGAATTATGCTTTGTCTTTTCTTCTACTCGCATAGAAGAAAGGAACATCTGAAGATGTGAAGATCAAGGGCAGCTCTGACTGCAATGACCATGAGACTGTGAAAAATAAGATCCTGAGAGGTGCAAGCTAGTAGACAAACATCAGGATTACAGCCAACCGTATCCTGGGTTGCATCAAGATATGTGTGACCAGCAGGTTAAGGGAGGTGATTCTGCCCCTCTACCCTGCTCTCATGAGCTCCCACTTAGAGTACTATGTCCAGTTCTGGTCCTTCAACACAAGAAGGACATGAAGCTGTTGGAGAGGGTCCGGAGGAGGGCCACGAAGATGATCAGAAGGCTGGAGCACCTTCCCTACAGCAACAGGCTGAAAGAGTTGGTGCTCTCCAGATTGGAGAAGAGAAGGCTCCGGAAGGACTTTGTAGTGGCCTTGTAGTACCTGAAGGGGGTCTCCAGGAAAGCTGGGGAGGGACTTTTCATAGGGAAATGTGGCAACAGGACAACAGAGAATGGTTTTAAACTGGAAGAGAATAGATTTAGACTAGATATTAGGAAGGAATTCTTTTCCGTAAGGGTGGTGAGACTCTGGAACCTTTTGCCCAAGGAGGCTGTGAATGTGTTCAAGGCTAGACTGGATGGGGCTTTGAGTAACCTGGTCTAGTGGGAGGTGTCCCTGTCTGTAGCATGGGGCTGGAACTAGATGATCTTAAGGGTTCCTTCCAACTAAGACTGTTCTGTGATTCTATTATTCTGTGATTCTAGTGACATCCCTCAGGGCGCAGTGGAGGGATCAGCATAGCTTTCATTAATGACCTGGAGGGTGGAATGGAGTGTACACTCAGTGAGTTTGCAGCTGACATCAAGCTGAAGGGAGTAGTCAATATAATGGATGGCAAGGCTAGTATTCTATGAGAACTGAAGAGACTGGAAAAAAAGTTCTGAAGGAGAGCTCCCAAAGCTCAGAAAAAGCAATGTAGAATCCCTACATCTTGGTTGCAGTCTTGGTTGCATCTTGGTTGCAATCACTCTATGTACTAACACAGGCTGGAATTAGCTTTGTAGAGAAGGACCTCACTAGGTAGACAACAGGCTGAACAAAAGTTGAAGTGTGCCTTTTTGGTAAAGAGGAACAACTGCATCCTGCACTTCACTAGAAAGTGTGTAGCCAGTAGGTCCAAGGAAGAATTTCTTTCTCTCCATTCAGCAACAGTAAGAGTATTTGCTGTGTCTGGAGTGCTGTGTTCAGTTTGGACTTCCTGGTAAAGTGGTCCTGGATTAAGTGCAGTAGAGGCTTCCAAAGTGGTGAGCGCTGGACATACAAGAAGAGTCTGAGAGCTGGCTCTGCTCAGCCTGAAAAAGAGGTAGCTTGAAGTAGCCCTATTGATATCTACAAGTAGTCGGTCAGAGGATAGAGAGATGATGAAGAATTCACAGAGGTGCAGTAGGATAAGAGACAGCAGATACAAGCTGGAACACTAAAATTTTTAAATAGAGAGTAGGAAATAATTTCTTAATGTAAGAGTGCTCCGCTGTTATAAATGCAGCACAGCTCTCAGTCCTTGAGTGCATTCAAGACTAGATTGGAACTCTGAACAGCCTGATCTGATTAGATGCTTTGAGCAGGAGTTTGAACTAGATGACCTTCAAAGTTCATTTCCAACCTACAGTACTCTGAGTCTGGGACCAACTAAGTGTTGGCACTGAGGAACTGACATTCAGATGACATTTTGTAGCATTCTGAAGTGGTTCATTCAAAACTCGAATAGAAAAACAAAGCAGGAAGAAATAGTGGTTTGACTCTCAAAGTTGATAGAAGCTTTAATATCTTTGAAATTCAAGACCTGGAGGAAGGCATTTAACTAGAGGAAAAAGAGGAAGATCTATGGAGATTCAAAAATATGCATGAGAACAGCCCTGTTATATGGTGTTGACATAAGTACTCAACCACAGAGGTGATACGACTCTTGCAGGCTGACAGCAAGAAGGCAGTAATTATTAAATATTTTCTTTCTAATTTTGGACAAAGCATAGTCTGTAAGTTTTTAAAAGCTTAATTTTGGAGTCCATATAGAAATATCTTTCAGACAAAGACAGCAAAATTGCTTTTGTAATACAAAGGTCACTTTTCTGCCACGTTCGTTTATCTCTCGGACGTCTAGGTGAGTGCTAGAGTTTTCTTGAGGAAGGCCAAAATATTTGACTTGAACTTGCTTGCCAAAATGATTGCATCATTTTCTCTGTAGCTTGAATAAAGTAAGAAGAATTGGCCCAGAGGTGACACCTCACATAACACAGTTTCAATGTGAATAGTTGATGTCTAGCATAGTGTATTAGGTTTGTATGTGAGTAGTTGATGTCTAGCATAATGTATTAGGTTTGTCTGCCCAATATTCAACACTTATTTCTGCAGCATAACAGTTTACAGAAAATCGTAAGACACATGTCTTATGATAAAGAAGATTAAGAGAAAATCAAGCAGTTCACTAAATGTACTCTATAAAGCAAAAACTGCAGCCCTTGCACAGCCACAGACTGTCTGATTAACTTTTTATTAACAGGGAAATGAAAGAAAAGAAATTAACAGAATTACAGAGACAATAAACTGGGGGATTCAAAATTAAAATGCTATTACTTTCTGCCTGTCAGTAAACCTGTCCACAGGACATGTTCATAAATAACTGTTCAAACATTTTGGGCAGATCATGTGCAGAAAGCAGGAAACATTGCAAGGGAAAGCACACGAAAAAATGTTTTCTAGTGGTTTACCTTTTTTCACAACATTTCAAAGAACTATGCAATATAAATATAGGAAGTAAATCTTTTCCCCTAATCTCACTTCAAAACCCATATGTACATTTAAAACTTGAAGCAGTTAGTAAATATGCTCTTTTTCTAAGATATTTTTTCACATAAGGCAGATACAGCAGTTGATCAAAGAGAACTTACCAAAAAAAAAAACCAAAAATCAAAAGAAATGTCTGTCAACAGCTTCCTAGGACAAGATGTCGTTTTGTTTTAAATAGTCTTTTCCTGCTTGCCTAATAGTAACGCTTTTTGTTTATTTGTTTGTTTTTGTTATTGTTTGTTTTTTGGCCTTTCTAGGTGTATTTGCCCTCTTCTACGTTAGTAACAAGTTCCGAACGTATCCTTTCACCTTCAAAGACCAACTCATTATTTCCTACAGTGGTCTTCGAGGAGCCAGCAGCTTTTCTCTTGCGTTCTTGCTTCCAGTGAAACTCTTCCCAAGAAAAAAATTGTTCATAACTGCTACACTTGTAGTTATATATTTCACTGTGTTCATCCAGGTAACTGTATTTCTTAATGAGTTGCTTTCACATACCTGAGGTGATTAGTTTATTCCACTTGGCTTACAGTGCCCTGCAAGGAGGAACTGGATCTTCTGGATGTCCCATGCTCTTTATTTCCCCATACAAAGATTTCATATACTTTAGAGTGCCCATGAAACTCTACACACTTGTGGTTAGGCACTTAGATCCCGTCAGAATGTTTCAACAAACCAGTTTTGTTTCTGTATCCTCTTTTTAAATGCCAGATTCTCTAGTTGTGCAATAGGGAATTGGGAGCAGCTGAAAATGGTTTCAACATTACAAAAAATAATAATTTTGAAAATATTGAAGTGTCAGGATTGTAGGGACCTTGAAAAGACAATGTTTTCATTCAAGTGAAGTTTTTTTGTGTGTGAAATTTGACAAAGAGTCACTTACCTTACGTAGTTAAAATGCCTTGATAAATATGATACTGATTTTAAAAATAGCCATATATATATATTAAGTTTTTGAGTTTTAATCCTCTTCCAGTTTAACCCCTAATTACTCTAAGAGAAAAATTTTCTGACAGATTAAAATGAAATCCATTTACTTGCTTTCTCTCTCTTTTTTTTTTTTTTTTTTTTTTTTTTTTTAATTTATGTTTATTAACATTTTAACATCTCAACTCATTTTTTCCAAATGCAGGGAATCACGATTGGACCATTGGTCAGATATCTGGATGTTAAAAAGACCAACAAAAAGGAGTCCATCAATGAAGAAATTCACATGCGAGTAAGTTTTTGATATCAGTAGCTGGTACTCTAAAAAGAAGAGAAGAAAGGGTGTTTTAGCTCTGGATGCAGTTTAGAAAATTTGGAGGAAATCCTAGGCATAATATTTAAAACATGATTTTTCATTTGAACCCATAGTAACTGCCATATTTGTACCATAATAGTCACAGCATAGCAGATCTCTTACATCTGGATGCTTGTAACTGTGGTAGGAAAGACACATAAAAGTAGAATTTATTAAATGCACTTATCATCCTTTCCAGCTAGATTTGTCAGATACCTTTGTTGTTATCTTTTGATTGCTTATAAACACTGACACCTTAAAGTTTTAAAGTTTTACTGAACTGAAATGTGTTGAACCATTGGTCTGCAAATCTCACTCCAAATTATTCTGAATAATGGTATTTTTCCCGTTCAAACATTTGCTTTAGCTCTCAAGTTACCGATATACAAAATAACAAAAAACTGCTCAAACCCACAGTAGCACTAAACAAAATATAAGTACATGCTTTCCTTTTCACAGTAGGAATGTATCCAAAATTAACTAAAAGTTGTGCCTTAAACACATTCAAAGACACTGGCAAAATTAGAAAATCTGAACTGATTTCAACTTGAGGTGAACTTAATTCTTGCTATTTCAGCTTTTACACTTAGCTTTGAATAAACTAAGTTTTGTTTAAAATCAAAATGTATGAAGAATTGGTCATTTTCTATCTATTTATTTCTGTAATGCTGGAAACACACAAAATAAAGATGATTGAAGATTCTGATTGTAGTGATGCCGTTCTCATGATAATATGCAAAATCATCAGAGGATTTGCAGTCTCAGGGTAAAAGTTATAGTGTAGAGTACCTGCCCTCATGCATGTGGAAGGATGTCAGGTATGCTGAGAGGAGACTTGCGTGACAAACCCAATAATTTAGGTTTTGGTCATGGTAGACAAAGAAGAGAATGCTGCTTGGATGCTCAGTACTGTTTTCTACTGGGAACAGTCCTTTACATGGGTCTGTGTTTTGCTAAGTGATGGTAAGATTATGGTATATTGACAGAATTACCACTTCAATCAACATATTGACACAGCAGCCAAGCACAGGACCCGTGACAGTGCATAATGGGATATTGGCCCTGATTTTTAGATGTTTTCAGAATTAACTCACCCTCCCCATTTAATAATCTCAAGATCTTGTCAACAGTTGCATATTTGTGGTGACACCATTTTCTCATAATGACCACTTTTTTTTTCTCTAGTTGATGGATCATTTGAAGGCTGGTGTTGAAGATATATGTGGACATTGGAGTCATTACCAGCTGAGAGATAAGTAAGCATATCTTACTCAGACTGTTACAATAAAATAGCCTATCATCTGTGATGTAAAATAAAAAAAGTAAATAAAATAAGAAATCCATCTTATGCCCCACGAGGCAAAAATAGCATGAAAATGTTTGAGACATTCAATGTCTCTTTTTAAAGGTGAACTCCTGAGTAACAACTCCCTTGGGAGTGCAGTGCCTATATGCTGTCTGCTAAAATGCTTCTGCACAAACAGGGAGAAAATGAACCCTTCTTAAAGAAAAACACAGTAGATAAACTCATGTTGCCTGCCTCAGCTTTGGATGCTGTGTGTATGCTTTGGCATAAATCTTTGATCTGTGGCAGTGCTTCCTTAGGATTTAGATTGGATTTGGAGGAGGGAGTGGTGTTTCACTGCCTCTCTCTTTAAGCCTCTTTGGCAAATATTATCCTTTGTAGGTGAAAACGAATTCAGTGATAGTTACCCATTTGTTCTTACAGGTCTTTGTACTCAGTCAGCTTTAAATACATAGCATGTAACATATATAACACTGCAGGAATTAGTGGAATATAAGTATCTATTAGCCAAGTTGATAGCTTCAAGCTAGTCTTTACTCAGAAACCACAGAACCTGTGATAGGTCTTCTATGAGCAAGATAAGGTGATTTTTTTGAAGTTTTGTGGATCCAGGCATTGCTCAGAAGAGACCAACCCAACATTCTGAGCTGCCTTCTTCCCCAGGTGATTGCAGTGGTCATGCTGGCCAGCACCTCAGCATGTGAATGGAGGTGTAGAGACATACCTTCCTTTTTCTCAGAAGCCATGGGCTAAATGTTGTCCTTTAGGCTGTGCTTAGACTTCTGTGCCTGAGTCCTTTGGCTTACCTTTCAGTACTGGAATCCAGTAATCCAGATTGGTGTCTGCTGGGACATGTTGCAGCAGCCATTACAACTGGGTTTTTCCCTATGGGAGTGCAAAGAAGAAGGCTAGTTTACATACAGTTCTTGTCCCATTAGGGTATGAAGATGCAGATAGGGCACATAACTGGACCTGGATGCCAAAATGTCTTTCTGGTTCTCAAAGTAGAGATAGCTTTAGGCTACCCCTGAGGCTACATCAATGCCTGTGCGGCCAATAGGCTGAACAAATCACTCCTGAAGCAGTAATTCCATTCAAATAACTGATAATTTTGTCAATTTTTTTTGTGAATGTAATGTTTCAGTTCAGAAGCAGAATCAAATAGCACATTGTATGTGAAAACATTTAATGTAAGATAATTGTATTCACTAGATTTTTCTCTGTAGCTTTAAAGATGCCTAGCATATGTGTATCAGAATTAATTTGATAACTAGATTCAGATAACTAGAATTAATTAGATAAATAGATTAAAAAGAGATAGCACTCCAAATAGCTGCCTGGTACACAGAAAAACATAAAGAGCTCCATTTTCAGTGGAAACTTTTATATACCTGTCTTTTCTATTAAAGTATAAAGACCAGATTTTAAGAAAGGAAAATGTGCAAACTATTGCTTTTTCTTAGCATTGTGGAATGCATTACCTTGCTGTGATAATATGTTCCTTTGATGGAAAGCTGGAAGAGAATTTGCTGCTGTGCTGATAAACATCTGCCTGAAAGGACATACCTGTTCCAAACCACACACATACATTCACACTTAAATTATGCCATACATTAGAGATATTTTTCAATCTGCAGCATGCGTGTACATAGCACTTTGAGGTCCATTCAACTCCTCTGACATTCAGAATACAAAGAAATATATTTTCTCTGCTCTAATTGTCGGGATTCAAAATTATCAGCAGCATAATGGGCCCAAAATATTTCAGGGGCATTTGGAGCATTATTGGTGGCTGGCTGAATAGGCCAGGATTACTGTAAGAGCAGCTGCTGCTGTTATGCTCTATTAGAATACAATGTTTGTACGAAAGCATGGAAACTGGCCATGTTCTTTTCTTACAAATGTGGTAGAGTTATATGCAAACACATTCCCAGCCTTTTTTTTTTTTTTTTGTTGTTGTTGTTGTTGTTGTGATTGTAGCTTTATTCTTTCTGTCATCCAGTGGGTTTCATAATCTCTATGGACCAGCAAACCACACCAAATGTGCCCCTAAAAGTCTCTGTTCACTTGTACTTCAGGGATCCACAGGTGCCTCCAATTTAGATTCAGTTTCTACTGCTAATTTATGTGTGCACATTTGAATGGACATCAGCTTATTTCCACAGAAATAATAACAAAAAAAAAAAAAAAAAAAAAAAAAAAAAAAATTCCCTACCCTTTATTTTGGCATCTCTTTTACAGATTTAAGAAGTTTGACAACAAGTATTTGAAGAAAATCTTAATTCGGGAACATCAACCCAAATCCAGCATTGTGTCATTGTATAAAAAGATGGAAATAAAACTGGCCATTGAGATGGCTGAGAATGCCATGAAAATTTCAGAATCTTCCACAGCTTCTTTACAGTGAGTATGGGATTCTTTATCCTTTGCAGAGTAAGGACAAGATGGAAGGAGAGAACAAAGAGAAACCACCCAAGAAATTTTATGACTTTAACAGAGAAGTCAGATAAAGACAGTGGTGAGGAGAGAAGGTGTTTTGGGCCAGCACTTTGGCACTCATCATATTTGCACATTGATTCTTTGTTCATAGAGTGAAAATTAAGAATAACCACCTTTTTTTTTTTCTTTTTTTCTTTTTTTTTTCCTTCTTTTTTTTTCCTTTCTATATTTTTCTTCAGTGATGGGCAGTTTGGAAGAGACATCATGAGTCAGGTGTGGAAGGGTTTTGCTCATCACTGCCAGCTGCTGAGAGAAGTGAAAGAGAGGATAGAGGAAAGGTCTTGATTCCAGTATCTCAAGCAGAAGAGAACAAATTTCCTTCTAGCATTTGCAGGTTTTTTACTTCAGATTTCAGTCCCTCAAATTTTCTTATATTTTGGTACTTCTGTACCCAGCACTAGCAGAACATGGTTGCAGAGAAGACAAGAAAATGGAAAAAGAGACAGGAGGGGACACAGAGAACACTTTCTGAAACTTAGTCTGGATTTTCAGCAGGGAAAATAAGAAATTTATATCAGTAAGGTTTCCTAGTTTTCTCAGTACACTAAATGAATGCTAGTTCTCCCAAGGCACATGCCCTTTCATTTTGCAGCATCCTTTGGCATGGGCCAGCATATCTTCTTTAGTGAATGCTCTTCTCACATCTCCCTAAAAAGTTCAAGTAACAACTGGAATTTAAACTAAAATCTCTCTTGAAACTGACATAATCGTGTCAAGATTCATCTACTTTCTTGAAACTGAAGTCAGTTTGCTGTGTAAGACCTAGCCCTTCTCTTTCTAAGTCATTCTTTGCCAAATGGATCATATTAAAAGAGATTGTGTGTCTGCAGGCTCCTTTCTGTCTGCTGTATTCCCTTAACTGCTCTGAGTCTAGAGTAAATGTGCAAGGTTGGTAGACTGTCTATGGTAAACAAACAATTTTCCTTTCTTTTTTCGACAGAAAGAGAAAATAAGACAAATTGCTTCAGATTAGTTCAGAAATTCTCTCCTGAGATAATTATTTAGATCAAAAAATATTCTACAATAAACAACTGAGATGATAGACTAAGATTTGCCAGCTCTACTTTAGCTGCAACTGAATTTTACTGTGCATCAATCTGTGATGTACAGTTTTTCCTACTGAGATAGCCTTTTTAAAAATAAAATGTCACCTTTAAAAAAGGTGTAGCTTTCCTGTAGCTTGGAAACTTTCTGGTCCATGGGGGCTACAAGAGTGTTTCAGGAAAATACAAGCTTTCTCAACTCTGTTCTTGAAAAGGTGTCTGGTGCTGAGCCCTGGAGGAGGCAGAATAGTGAGCTAATTGGATCTGTGGTCTGAGCCAATGCAGCAGTTCTTATACCTCTGTTCTTTTGAGTAATTAACTAAACTTGCCTAAGACTAACATGTTTCTGAATGAGAGCATGTGTAAATAGATTGATTAAATATTGTCTGTCCTTAGATGGGATACAAAAATCTGGCCATGAGCCCGTAGCAATTTGAAGCCAATTTCCACCTTATACCATATAAAGCAGTATTTGCAGTGCCATGGTAGTGAGAAAAATGATCAGCAATTCTGGCCACTTCAGTCGTGTTAGAGACACATGGGGAAATACTCTATAACAATCAAGGCAGCTGTCCAATGCTGTGGATTAGCTCTGTGCTCAGGTATTGAATTCATGTGGGTGGGAGTCCTGTAGGTGAAGTTAGTATTCAATATGCAGTAAGCATTTTCAGTGTGAACTGGAGAAATGGAAATAGAACATTATGTTATGATGGCTTGGAGAATATCAGTCTTAGAAGTAAGGATTTTAATGGAAAAAACATAGCCAAGCAAATACAATTAAAACTGTGTTTTTATGGTTGCATTTTGGGGAAATACTCCCTATAAATACCTATTAGAGAGATGTTTCACTTCTGACATTTTATTTATTTAACTCACTTCAAGAGATAGGCTATAAGCCTTCAAATGACTTAGGACTGGTCACTTTTTCTGTACTGACATGTGGACAAGTATGCAACTAGAAATGTAAATAGGTAATCTGATGTCATCTGCTCATTATTTCCTCCTGTTTGCTCCCATCTTCAAGTTGCAAAGGCCTAATGGAGACATCAGGTGAAATGAGGATCAGAAAGGTTATTCCCTGTGACATCAACATCGTTTGTATCAGCTATGGTTATTCAATTTGCTGCACAAAAACAATCCAACGCTGTGTTTTAGAGAGCAGTACAAGTTAACAGGCTGATTGCCATTAGCTTATATTTGCTTTCACAGTTGTGCCCTAGCTTCTCAGTTCCTGTCTTATCCAAAGAGAACTTCGAATAGGGGCTGCTGAGAGACTAGTTTCCTTGCTCTGGAAAGTAGCATACATGGGCTGTCCTACAGCCTGGGATATGCCAGCCTCGATAAGGGAGAAAGGTGCACTGAAAATACTCACATAAGCCTGGGAATTTGGAAGCATAACTGATCCTCTCAGTGTTATCCCTGAGAGTTGGAAGCAAGTAAAACCTATCCAAACAACCAACTAACCAACCAATCAAACAAAAAAGCTAGCTGGATTGAAATTAGATGTTTCTGTTGGTCTGTTTTCCCTGCTGGTAAATATCTAGGTTTGTTGTTGCTGGTACTGGGAATTGATCAGTGTCAATCATACCTTAGTTGGGATAGATTTCTTGAAGCCGAGATAAGATTTATGGTAAAATTCAGAAAAAGAGTACATTTCTTTCCCTCTGTCTTCTTTTATTATAGTACAAAATGTGGTAACCTTGTTAAACTAGCTGTGATTGCAAAATTCAAGCATTCAAGCAACATTCAGATGATTACAGCATATTCTTAATTAAATTTCAATCTACCTTCCTTTGCTGTTAAAATTTATTACAGAGGGAGTAAAAATTGGGTACACAAAACTCTGGCAATACTGTACATTGATAATAATCTGTTCTTTAATTGCACAGTTTGCAAGCAGAACTTTAAAGACATCATTTAGTTGAGAATAAAGACATGATAAAAGTTTAAATAAGAGAAAAGAAGGAAAATGGAGAAAGGAAAAAAACAGAAACAAAAAGATGAACTCGACTGATTCATCCTGGATAATGACTTTCTTCTTTTCCTTTCTTTTCTTGGGAACCAAACACTATCTCTCACACAGACTGATTTAGTAAACCCAGTTAATGTTTCACAGCAGCCTTCATCTTTGTTTTGCTAGTGAAAAGGCCAGGCAGTTACAAATGACTATGCACTTCTTGTCCCAGTTTGCTAAAAAATTCAAAGATTACCATCTTTTAGGTAGTTCTTTCATTTTAAATGGAGAAATGGGCACAACACCAAAGAAACCCTACATGTTCTCCTAGCCACAGAGCAGATCTCTCAGACTTTTCATTTAAGATGTGCTTTATTTCTTAAGGATGTGCTGAAGAGGAGTTAAAGCCAGGAGGACAGCAAAGCCCATACCCTAATGAAGAACAGATTCAAACAGAGGAAGAAACTGGAATGCCTGCCTGTTGGCTGCTCAGTCCAACATATGGGGAGTTTCTGATCACCCTTGTGTATTAATAAAGCTCAGGAAGGAGTCAAGTCTGCTGTAATTCATTCAGCTTTGAATGATTTTGTGGCAATACTGCTCACTGAAAGGCTCTTCACAGTCTTAATGCTGAAATCAGTTCATGCTCTGTTTGATGACAAGAGCATTTAGTCAGCTTAATATTGTATTTAAACTTTTTTTATTTACAGGCACTGTAGAAACCGGCGTGATACCAAGCTCTCCCCTGCAGAGGTGGAGTCCATGAGGGATGTCCTGGCCCATAACCTGTACCAAGTGCGACAAAGGGTGCGTGAGCAACCTGCTGTCATGCAGTATTTGCTGATTGAAGGCTTTTGTTTACCCTCCCCACCTGATGGCAAGGGTGATGGTAGTGGTGGGACCAGCAGCAGCTGTGCAGAGAAGGCAAGGAGTTCTGCCTAAGTGGAAAAATGGAAAGCAGAGTTTTCCACCAGCTCTGACAGCAGTGGGAAAAGCCAAGAATATCCAGGAGTGAGCTGTAGAGGTCAGGCTTCCCTCACTGAACCTGCCACTTAGAAACGGCTTTTGAGGCTGACCTTCCAACCTTGTCCTTACAGGCACCCATGACCTGTAGCCTGCTCCTGCTGAAGTCCACCCATCCCTATAGCCACGTGTGCCACCTGCCTCACCCTAGTTCAGCCTGTACTTCAGCCTGTGTATTTGAAGCAGCAGGCACAGGCATATTTTATGTGTCACACCAAAAAGGCATAGCACAGCCTCTCGGGGACCCAGCATTCTGCCCAGGTATGGGAAATTGGGCAGGTGCCTTGCTTGTCAGGACAGTAGATGGTGGCAGATGGCACTGGCAGCTGCTGAGGAACCCTGGGGTAGCAAGGCTTTTTTGGGGGACAACAGGATGGCAGGTCGCCAGCAGCCATGAAACTGCAGTGCGGAGTGGTAAACATCATGTAACTGAAAGTCAGTTGGGAGGCAGGCTGCTGCATCCTCCCTCTGCATGGGAGTTGCAGCTTCCCCTCGCCAAAGGAGGAAAAAAGAAAAATTCCACATCCTCTGCAGCTTTGTCTGACAGGCTTTTGCTGCTCCCCTCAAAAATAATACCTTACTGGGGATTTGTTTTACCGAAATTTGTACAGATTCCGATGCAACCCAAGACATCCTATCTACTTAATTCAGCCTTGAACCCAGAATATGCAACTGTACAACTGAGTGATCTCATGCAGCAATGAGTTGGAGAGAATATATTACAGTAACCTTGAAATTATGCAGATAAACTAAGCTAACTTGCATAACACACATTAGCTAGAAAACACTATGCCCTGCTCATTTAAATATGTCACTATTAATATGATATTCATTCTCAATTTTGTTTGATTTGCCATGGCCAATTATCCTTATAATATTAATTTCTTATCTTTCCAGTAACAATTTGCATATATGGCTGCCTTCATTTAGATAGCTGAAATGAACTCTCTCTTTTCAAAATCAATTACAATAATGACCATTAGTGCCAGTCACTTCCTATGTGGCATTGAAAACTGTGTGCTTTGGAAATGAAAGATTGGAAGTAAAGTAATATTGCTTCTAATACTTCACTTTAAACTTTGAAGGCATGGGGATACTTTGCCCTGCCAGACCAATTTCAGAAGGAACCAATTCAGGTGAGATTTAGGCTAGATTCTGCACTTAAGTTTCTCTTGTCTTAAAATCCTCTGTTAAACATTTATTTTTATTTATTTTTTAAGTCAGAGAATTATTCTCTTCTCCTCTGTTTCACAAGATATTAGCAATAAATTAAGAAGCTTATCCTAAAAAAAAAAGTTCAGTGCTAGGGTAATATTGAGGTATAATATTAAGGGATTAAGTTCTAAATATGGAAAGCAAACTGAGCTGTGCATTGCTTTCAGGAGATACTCTCTAAGCATTACCTTTACATCTCAACATATCTGCAACTTGCTCTGGCTCAGTAATATTAATACCAAAGTTCAGAGATGGGTTAACAAGCTATCCTGAGACCTACCTGAGATCTGTTACTCCCAATTCCATGACCAGAAGAGGGCTGAGAAAGGGAGGCCAAGCTCAGAGGTGCTGACAGGCTTGTGCAGGTGGATATGTTTTATGGTGCACTTTGAGCTGACATGAGTCTACCAAAAAGGACATTGAAATCATATTATCAAGGTTGGAAAAAACACTAAGATCACCTCATTCAACCACCAATCTACCGCCACCATGCCCACTGGACTATGTTCCACAGTGCCACATCCACATGTTTTTTGAAGACTTCCAGGAACAGTGACTCCACCAGCTCCCTGGGCAGCCTGTGCCACTGCATCACCACTTTTTCTGAGAAGGAATTTTTCCCTGATATCCAACCTGAAATGCACCCTTGCTGAGCAGGAGCAAGGTTAGTGAGGCTGCCTTTTTGCTCAAGATACAGAAGAGACTCCTATCAAGTTGGTAGTGTGCCCTTGGCTGTGCTATCTTTGGTCTGCACAGCTTCTCCTTATTAACATCACATGTGCAAAGGGAACTAACAGGGTGTGCTTTCTGTTACAGGCATCATCATACAACCGCCACAACCTGCCTTCCAGTGCCAGCGAGAAACAGGCCCAGGAAATCCTCATCCGTCGGCAGCACAGCCTGAGGCAGAGTTCTAGGAAGGGGAATAGCTTACCTTGTGGTAGACCGGTACCTGTTATGCAAACTGCTATTCCTGTAATCAAAACACTAAAAAGTGCCTCTGCTTCTCTGTAAACAGGGCAAGAGGCACCCATCTGTATATGCTTTTTGCAACAATTAAAGTGGATGTTCTCTTCAACATGGTCATACAGCATCTTAGCAGAAAAAGTCCTTCACTTAGCATGTGGACAGCAGCATTTCTTATGCCTTCCTCTTTATAACATGGTCAGAAATCACCTACTGTGGCTGTAAGAAGTAATGTAACTTGCATTGCGGTCTCGTGCAAAGTAAGAGTAAGATTTTTCTGATCAAATGTTGACATTAGATAGCATAGACATTTACAGCTGAGATAATCACAGTTCAAGAAGAAAAGCAAGTTCTTGCTGGACAAAGTTCCATTTAATTCTTAGTTGTTACCTGAAATAGGATAGGTGAATCTTAGAAGAGCATATTCCTATTCTTCGACTAAACACTAATTTTCACCAGGGGTGAAGTTGTGTTAAACTCATTTTTTTTCTGTACACAGGTTAATGCCACAAGTGTGCGCTACCTCTCCTTGCCGCAGGGCCACAGTGGCCAGCCCACTAGGCAGAAAGCCAGGCATGTTACTTTTACAGGTAATGGAAATGTTTTGTGCTGTATTCTGCCCTAGCAGTGAGATAATTGGCCAGTTGTTTGATGGATTTAACAGTACTCAATGAATACTCGCAAGGAAGTCGCTGGTCTCTTTAAATGAGCTACACCCTTCTCTCCTATCTTTTTATCTCCACTGTTTATACGGTTATGACTGTTGCAGTTTCTGTCTTGTTCCAGCACCGCCTACTTTTCTGTAATTTCCTCTTGCACAAATACCCCTGTGATCCCTGCAATTTAACACGTGCATGATGACTTCCGTGTAAGCCCAAGAAAGGAAACCGTTTCCTTCAGCCCCATGGACAAAACTGTAAGCGCATTTGTTAGGAGATTCTTATGTCACTAGCCTGATAAGTCTGAGGATGACACACTTCCGTGCCCACATCTCTATTTCCCAGGACAGTGAGGCTGAGAAGGAGTTCCCAGTAGCACACCCACATACCATAATTCAGCATACACACACACACACAGCCAGCCACCCCAAGTAGCACAGCACTCACACAATCACACAGCACTAACAGCCTCTTCCTGTTTCCTTCTCTGGCTGAACACGATGAAAGGCTGGTAGTGGAAAACTGTGCATACATACACATGTGAACACACAGTCCCCCAACACGAGCATGCACAGAGTAGATCCCTCTGTAACTGGCACTGGACACTCAGTCTTGCCCCTGTCTGTCTCCTGATTCCCCTAGTCTCCCCTTGCTTTGCACTCAGGGATACATGCATACAATCCAGTCTCACTGGTACCTTGTCTGGGCTATGGCCCTACCAGTAGTGACCCTACCAGTCACCAGTCACAGACCCCGTGCTCTAATCACTGATCTGGACCTCCTGGTCCACCCAATAGCTAACTCACAGACCTGATCTCTTCAGCATCTGCTATGGTTGCTCCAACATTTACTTCCTAAGCCTCTTATCCTACTGCCTGTGATAGCTAGCAATTTTGCACTGACGTGCATCTACACATTGTGTATGAACCTCAGTCTTTCTGACTGCTGTACTCAGACCTTCATACACACATATGCACACTATACAGGGAGCTGCTCTCTCAGGAAAACAGAAGTAGAGTTTAGCAACAATATGGACCAGACAGTCTCGATATGGCATATGGCATGGCTGCACACACATACTGATTAGACTATATTTACATGCAACCACCTCCTTTGTATCCCATTCTTCCACTATTTTTTTCTGCTCTTGTTCCTCCCCAAACCATCCTGATCCTTTACATTACCCACTTACGATTCCTACCTTAAACATCCTACTGTAAGTAGTGTATGATCCCCAAATACTGTCCCATGGTATCCCAGCAATTACCTCATATATTCTTTCTTTTTCTCAGCTTGCTTTCTGTGAACATTTCTGTAGTAATTATTGGACAAACCAAACATCTAGTCATTACTTTTGGAGGTGGTCAGGGGTGGAACAACATGGAATTGCCCAATGAAACACACAACAGTAGTGTCAGAGAAAGCATGGAATTTAGGACTTGAATAGTCATCAGTATCTCCTTCTGTAATGTCTCTGACTCCTTTCTGAGCTTTCATTGTGATTCTGAAATATAATCAACTATCTCTGAAAATCACTCTTCATTTCTGGCCAAATTAACTGGAAGAGATTAAAACCATGTTTTTAATCATCATCTTTACATCAAACATTGGATGACAAAGATATTACATGCAGGTGCAAAATTTTTTCTTCCTTTTCTTTCTGTTTTGCTCTGAAATAAATTAAATCAGAAGAGATTTCTGTAGATAAATCATCCCCCTGGTGCTAGGCACCTACACATGTGGTGGAGGCAGAGCAGAAACCCATCTATTTAGAAGTGAAGATCAAAATTATTCTAGCTGGGGGTTTTAATTTTAATTTATTTATTCTTTTTTCTTGAAGAACAAATTCTTTCAAGTTTGGTTGTCCAGACATCATGGTGGGGAATATGCGTTTTTTTGTGTTTTTCTAAAAAACTCAATTTTTTCTACACATCAGCCTCAAACCTAGAAGCCTTTCAGACACTTTCAAAGGCTTAAGTCTTGCTAGCACAGATAGGTACATTATTTTAGTGGAGTGATGAGTAAATCCTGAAGTGTTTAACATAGATGTGTTTTTACTAGTAGCTAGGCCTGCATTTGAGACCTCTCTTGTGATGTATTTGAATAATTAGACTTCTTGGTATTGTTTCTGACTTCATAAAACTCCACAAAATATTCTTTAATGCTCTTATGAAAATCAATTATATATGAAATTCAAGGCTGAATGCACTGTGCTATAGTCTCTGTCCAACAAATAATTCAAAATGAACTCATCTAAATATAGTCTTATTACTTCTTGTTTCTACTAGAGCGTAAAGGTTTTCCTGCAGTTATAGGGGTCTTTTTAAAAATTATCAGATGGAAGGGAAAGCAGGGTGGGGAGTCATAAAGGTATAGAAATCAAATACTTCAAATAATTTAGAATTGAATTTACTCTGAAATGAACATTCAGTTAACATTTTCTGATTCTATGATCTGTTGTAAAATGGTTTGGGTTGGAAGAGACCTTAGCATTCACACCACTTGATATGTCTACAGCAGAAGGGAGACCTAGAGGTCTTTCTGGAGTAAGCACTCTCCAGCAAGCTTGGTTTAACTTATACATAGCACAAGCAAAAATTTTAGCAAATGAGAGGACAGAAGTGACTGTGAATATATAGATCCTTAAACTAACAGCTCTTCCCGTCATTCATTAAATAAGTCATTTCTTTGGCAGAATATATCAGTCATAGCTTGTGGCACTGTTGTCCTTGACGAACTAAGTAGAAACCCTTTAAATTGGAAAATATCTATCCTGTCTCAGGATATTGCTCATGGGTGATTGTGGTATGTCCACATGGCCTAACAGAAGAAGGTTCTGATGGTAAAAATTTGTGCTCCTACTCAGTGGAATTAAGTGGAGGTGCATGTCCTCTTGTTTTGTGCCAGTGATCTAGTCAACATTAAATGTAGATAATTTAATAGTTATTAAGTTGTAATAATTTTGTACGTTTTGACTGTGTGACTATACCTAATGCCTGCATCTGGTATAATTTTATTCTTCATGTAGCTTTATCTCCCAAAACTTCCCAGATTTTTATGAGTTGTTTCTTAAATTAATTAATTTGCTAGTGAGTAGTCAGATTACATTTGGCCTTAAAAAGAGTAAAACATTTTGTGAACTCATCAGGATAAAAGAGACAGTTAGGGACTACTGCAGTCACATTTTTATTGTGTACTTGTAGCCCTGCAAGCTGGTAGGAGTAGGTCTGACACACCCAAAGTAATCAAAGCTCCATAAAGTCAAACTTGAAACTGGTTTCAAGTGAAACTGTTTTCTTCCCAGTTGTTAATAACAGGTGACTGGTTATCTTGATTTTCAGTGGTTCTAGGGTCTTTGTAGTCACTTTTTGATTTCTGCTGTGAGCTTTACAATGTTTTTCAAACATTGCACTAGATATATTCATGAAATCAGTAGAAAGTTGAAAGATACATGAAAGAACACTCTTGTCTGAGGAGGTATGAGTTGCTTCGTTAGATAAAGAAAGATATCTGAGTGTGTTTTCTTATTAGAGTTTCAGAGTAAAGGCAAGATCAATAAGATCTTTTAAACATTAGCATTGGGATGAACGTAAAGGTTTATGGTTATTTTTAGATCTTGTCTGTTCTCTTACTCTATAACAATTACTTAAAATCTTTCCATTTCAAGATTTAAAACCCCATTATGTTGTATAATACTGAATACCCTTTAACCGCCCTTGTCAACACCATGGTGTTTCTCTTTTTTTTTTCCTGCATCATAAAAATTCTGTATTTTCTTTCAGATCACCCTAGAAGTATCTCTGAGGCTGGGATCCCAGTAAAGTTCAAACCCCAGCCCCGACTACGGCCACTCGTAGCAAAGCACAGCCAGGAGGAGCTGGTTCCAATGGCACACTTGGATAGATGCGACCATTCGTCCCATTTGTCAGGTCGAAGAGGAAATACGATCAATCGTCATCATTTCACCAGAGCAGACAATCGAGCTGCAATATCAAAGCCTCGAGGCATTGTGAGAAAACGACAGGGGTATGAGTCAGAAGAAGAGACAGCAATGATGGCACCAGCCAGGCCATTAGATATATGAGGAGCAGAGAAGAGCAATGTTTGATTCTCAAGGGCCCTTTGTGCACTGTTCCAGAGAAAATAACAAAGCTCTTATATGAACCAAACCACAATTTTACTTTTGGGATCAGTGCAGTCATTCTCAGATCACTTTTAAGTACTGTATCAAGGTACTTAGCGGCTTGAAGAAGATTCAAATTCTTATATGTTTATATTAAACTGGCTTTTTGGCAAAACAATGCAGGAAAGAGAGAAACATGATCTTCATAGGGATTTGGGTATGGATTTAGGTAACAACAGTTGGACATTTGAAGTGTTCTAGTTGAGAGCTGATATTGCCTTCTTCTGTTCTAAACTATGAAACTATAAACTATCCAGGGGAAAGAATCACAGGGATGTGGTTAAGACATGGGTTCTCAGATTGGTAACTTCAGAGCTCTAGGCAAGTTGAACCTCAGAGTAGCTGAGATGTTCCAAGTAAGAATGAGGAAAAAGGCATTTTGATGGCTCCTAAATACCACTGAAGATGCCTGGAAGGGTACATAAATGAAAATAATTCCTTAGTGGTCATTTTAAGCTCTTGGATATCCACCAGCATTTCAGGTTTTGGCTTTGGAAAAATGCCTGAAGTGAGTTATAGGATGGTCTGGGATTCCTGCAACTTCAGCGCGGAGGCATTACCCACCTACAATGTTTTTAGATGAAGAAAGGAGACATTCTAGTACTAACAAATCCAGAGAGAACTCTTCTGGGAGGGGTGCTGTTTGGAGACTAACACAAAGCTCATATTTTTCAAATATGAGACAGCAAAGGTATACAAAATAGACATGTGCCTACAGCTCTGGTTTAGTGAGGCAGAGGTTTTTGTCATGGAGAAGCTAACCTCCATCTCTCACTTCCACCTTGCTGAGGGTGCCCAAATCACTAGGCTACTCTTTGCACTGAAGCTGGATCTGCACCTTCAGTGGGAACCAAGAGTTGGACAAAAAGGAAAGGAGAATCTAGTCTGACTTTGTATCCTGCTGGCTAGCAGGAAATAAAGGCTTTGTGTTGTGCTGCCAGGTTTTTAGGATTGTAGAAGCATAGAATCCTCAGAGCTGAAAGGTACCTTTTAAGGTCATCTAGTCTGACTCTCCTGCAATGAACAGGGATATCCACATGCCTGGAACCTGGTCTGTCCTGGCCTTGAATGTCTCCAGGGAAGGGGCATCCACCACCTCTCTGGGCAATCTGTTCCTTACCACCCCCACTGTAAGAGACTTTTTCCTTATATCCAACCTAAATCTCTCCTCTTTAAGTTTGAAACAATTTCCCTTTTCCCTGTCACTACAGACCCTGCTGACGACTCTGTCCTCTTCTTTCCTGTAGCTCCCCTTTAGGAAAGAGTAGAAATCGTTTCTAATTCTCAATAGAAAGGATGTTTGCCTGTATGTTGCACAGAGGAGCGATTGCTAAAAAGGCAGAAATGACAAGGGACACCTTCACTTGAGCCCCTGGCCTCCTAGCTCTTCTGCTGAGCATCCTTTTCAGTAAACTCCATGCAATCATTTGCTCATTTCAACAGCAGATCTCCCTAATGGTAAGGACAGAGGAAGCAAGAAGCTGTGGGCCTGGGATATATTAGTTGAAATCAAAACTGCCAATTAAAAACACCAGTCACCTAGCATCTCTGTCTGAGCTTCTTTCTGCGAAATGAAAGTGGTGTCACCAGTGTTGTAAAACTGTAGGTGAGCAGATTTTAAACAAAGGAATAATTTGAGTCCAGAAGTGCATAAACTCACCCTTACAGCTGCACTAAAGTCTGCATCTGAAAAGTGCACTGTTTAGTCATTTTCTTCAAGTTTTGTTCTTCTACTCTAAGCTTGCTTAGCTATCCAGCATGAGATCTGTAAATGTACTGCAGGAAGCAGAAAGATAAGAGGTAGTGATGACAGTGACGCCTTTCTGGTTCTGGGGGAAGATCTTACTGTTAAGCACTCATCCAAAACATCTTTGAAGTGTAAGTTATGACTTCATCACATTTCATACAATGGATCTCTGATTCAGCGGAGGTAGTGTCTAAACTAACAAATTTGGAAGGCATTACTGGAGAAATTAAAAATAAAAGCTTTCTTTTTTCCCATATTTGAAGGTTTTTTTTTTTATATATATTTAGCAGATAATAATGAATCATCTGTACTGAAACTGTACTCAGCTTTCTGAATCTTAAATTCTGTTTGCATTTCTTCATTGTGCCAGACAAATTATCCAACTTCCTTTTATGAAAGGGTAAGCTTCATCTTTTGTACTGTCGATGAGCAAACAAACACAATTCTGTATCGGAAAATCAGCAAACAAACCCTGCTCACCGAATATGTGTTTCTTAATGTCTTTAAATAAAATCCTTATGCCAGATGTCAATCCTACAGCAAATTATACCGACATATAATGAATCTCAATGAAAACATTATTTTAAGGAAGAAAAAGAGTTATCATAGTGCAATTGATTTTCTGTGGAACACCCAGTTGCAATATGAAATTTAACTGAGGGCAAAATCAGGTGAGCGGTTGCACAGCTGATGTAGGTGCATGGAAGGGGGAATGGAGAGATGGGATCTGCTTCTGCATCACGGGGTCAGAAGGAGGTGGGATCTCCAAAACCAGCAGTGAGTTATGTGGATTGGAGGCAAACACTGAGGATAGTGATGGATAGAAAGTGGTACTCTGAGAGAAGAGTGAAGAGAAGATACTATCCTGTCTTCAAAGGGAGGCTCAGGAGAGAGACCTAAACAGGAATTACTATGTGCTGCAAATTCATCATTTCCTCTTAAGAAGATTTAATCAACAGTTTGTCTGGGGAAACTGGAGAGTTACAAATTCTGTGTGAGATGAGGAAGGTGAATAGGACTGTAGAGTGGAACAGAACTAGACATGGATCATGAGAAAATATGTACGTTTTGGACAGGGTATTTTTGGAAGACATGCTTAAAACTGACTCCCAGATTTTTTTATTGAGTGTAATAAAAGTTGTAGAGCATTTTTATAGTTACCCATTGTAAGCAGGGAGCAAAGCATTCAATTTCCAGTGACCATTTATATCAGAACTGGATAAAAATAATAAAGTCTTTCTAAAATATAAATCAAACTAGTACATAGCAGGAGGCATATCTCCCACTTTTGGTTCATTTCCTAATCTTTCTTCTCAGGAAATCAGTGAGCCAGATCTTCAGAGAGTGTAAAGCCTTAGAGCTTACAGAAGTTAATAGAGCTCTCCCAGCTTTTGCTGTCTGGTCCCCAGACATGTAAAGTTTATTTTTAATTTGCTTTCCTAGCAATGTGAAAGTAGTTCTGGAAGAAAATTTCTTTCTGCACCATTAGTTGCAGATAATGGGCCTGCTGGCCATTAGCCAAGAAACCACACTGCATATACCTATACAAAATATGTTCCAATGTATAATGTTGCATTGTTTGTTCGTTTTCATGGTTATTTCATACTTGTGGGAATGAAATTCTCCTTGAAGAATCATATCACTTATGTTTTAAATGGCAATAACTGCAGTAATGTTTCATTACAGGTAAATAATACCATGTCTGTAGACTTGCAGACCTTGTCTGTAGAGAAAACTGAAGTGTTTTAGGGCAGGAGTTTAGATCCTCTGCTGGTCTGTAAGTCCTCATGTGTGGGGGCATTCCTAAACACCAGCTTCAGCCACATCCTGGAAATGTGTAAGTCTCTTCAAGGTCTCCTTTTCAGACTGGTCCAGAGCTACTGTTTACCCAGGAATTTAAATTGCACTGTGATTTAAAGTGAATTGGCACAGAAACTCAGAAAAAAAACAGGCAGAAAAGCGCTGTGCGTATCAATCCAGCAAGAGGCAAACTGAAAGACAAACTAAGTTTGGATGTACTTAGAGAAATTAAGGAAGGTTTGATGGTTTTCAGAAAAGTTGGCCAGGGTTTCAGGCTGGATACTTGTAGAGAAGAAGTAACTGCGATCATTTTCAGCATGCAAATGATAGCTTAATCTGTGTTTATGGGTGAGGTAGTTAGAGTTTAGAGGACAAGTGATATCTAATGTTAAATCAAGTCACTGTTGATAAATTTATTGACTTTTAAAAAAGAGATGATGAAAATAATTGTGATTATTATTTTATTGCTCATATGTGGGTTTTGAATGTCAACATTTTCAGGGGTTTTCCTGTAGCCTTTAGAACCTTTTAATTATCATATTTGAATAGAAAGTGCTATTTAAATGCCTGTGTGAGACTCTGGAAAGTCTGTTAAATGTCTCTAAGCTTCCTTTCTTTATAGCCTCCTTTCCTAATTTTCTGTCTACGTACATGAATCAAACTCAAACATTAAGAGTGGAAAAACAGATTACCGTATCTTTATATTTTATTTGCTTTTTAGGTAGGACAATTACGTTTATTGTTTTATCAAACTCACCTTAAAATTTAGGGTGTCACGGTAACATGAGTAATACTCTGAATCAGTTGGGACTGGAAATATACTGGACTAAGTTAGCTAATTTATTTCCTTTTGATAATCTCTCTTAATGTTACCACAAGTGAAACTCTTTTTTTCTTTTCTGCTTTGGTTTCAACAGTGAACTTTCATGGTTAACAATAGTTCTTGTTTATTCCTAGCCCATCCTTCCTCTTGAAACAATGGGAATTTTTGTTACCTTTCAGTCATAAGAAATGAGACATAGTCTGAATGCAACAGTGCCAAGCTCAGATTTTGAGGCTACCTTTTCTTTGGCAAATGGTAATCATGCCATTAGAGGGCAGCTGGTCAGTAGTAGATATTCAAACTGAACATCAGCCATGACTTCTTTCACACTGTCCTTGTAGCAGCAAGAGACACCTTGCAAGAAGTGAGCCACATTGAGCTGAGGGCACTAAGTGTCAGTCATCCACGTCTGCAAGCACGGTTGAGTCACTAGACATCTGCACAATGCCTTCCCATCAGAAACTTATTCTGCTAACTACAAAATTGTCAAGAACTGTAGAATTACAGAATGATTTGGGTTGGAAGGTATCT